GGGCCCCCCCCCCCCCGCCAAAAAAAGCTTTTGGAACAGTTTCAAAGTGCTTTTACAAAATACAGACTTATTGGAGAAGAAGCTACGAATGCATTTAGGAATTGCAGGAAAATATTCAGTCTATTCAAAATATTCAATCAATTCAAAATATTCCATGATTTATAATAAGAGAAGAAAATAACGACTGAGTATTCAGTCACAACTGGCTAACCGATATGACTGAATCTGACTGGCATTTATTGTTCTTCCATTCTCAGATCTCGAGACTCAGAATTTTTCGTGGGTTGAAGATTTTCTCCCTTGCACTTCTCAAACCAAAAAAAAGGAAAAAGATGTGTGTGTGTGTGTGAGCATCCGCACTTGGGCACTTATGTCTTTTGCAAAAAATGAAACAATAAGTCACATGGCTGCTAGCACGATTAATGTTCTGCAAGGAGAGAGTGCGGTTCTGAATCTGGCGAGGCCCTGGATATACAGCAATTTAGATCGAAATATTCCTATAACAACATTGGTTTGAGCCTGGTTCAAAATGTGGAGAGACACCTACTTACACACCAGCAAGTGTTATAAGAGAGGGAATATCGCAAGAGAGTAAAGCTCCAAATAAGTAGGGATACTTTTGAAATTTCCTTTTATTCTTCAGTCGCCTCAACACTAGGTTTTCGGATTATGAAGTGGATTTCTAAATAATATTTTCCATGTGCATATGTTGAAGACATTTCGTACCGAACTTACGCGCTACCTTGGGCCACGCGGCTAATTCAGTAAACAGGTTCTCCCAGGGACTGAATTGATCCAGTTTCATCAGCAAACAGCGCATTAGCATAGGCGCTTACATCATTACGATTAAAGTATCAAACACGGGTATCAATGGAGGGTCATTTCCATGGTGATATTTTGCTAATCGCAGTTTGCATCTTGGTTCTATTTTCAAGCGAGTCGAGGCTCTGGCGTTTTTCTTGGCATTCTTCTAAAGAAATTCGTCTCTTCTTTTAATGGGATTTGGGCTAAATTCTACAGTAATTTCATTGCTCTGGAAGAAACCTTTAAATAATTACTCTCCAGATTATCCTCAGGGACCACACAGGCATCGCTGGAGGAGATTAGTGACCACTGCCCTTAATCTTTATTGTTTGAGTTATGTCTACCAATTGGGTCTTTCTTATTAACTCTGGTTTCTTTTAATATTTTTCTCTCCAATATGCTGGCAACCTGGGCGACGTTTAGTTCTCTTGTGCACTTCCATTTTATTGAGAAAGAGAAAGAATGAGGAGGAGGAGAAGAAGAGACGAACAGAAAAGAAAAGAAGATGTAATTTGTATTCAATTTAATATATCCCCCCCGCGCAATAAAAAAGAAGAAAGAGACATTTTGCATTCAAAATAATATAATCCCCCCCCTCCAATAAAAACAAGAATAGGTGTGAGTTTCCAGCTACCGGAAAGAAGGTGACACTTCAAACCTGTTCCCCTCACCCCTTTCTTTCTTTCTGTCCCCTTTTTCTTTTACAGGATTTGAGAACCCAGAGCTTCTCGGTAACTGTACAGTCATAATAAGAGAAATATGCAAAGCCAAACCTTAGCGGCTGGAGCGAAGCTCTCTGAAGCAGAGGGTTTTTGCAAAGAAAGACAATATTTTTTTGTTCACGTTCTCCACAGCATGGCACGGTATCTCGTCTCCCAAGCCTTGTTTCTAGGGCTGGTGGCGGTACAGGCTTTTTTTTGCTTGCTTGTTTTTGCCTCCTGTGAGATGAAACTTGCGTTCAGGAGCAGAGGTTCATCTTTCCCCAGCTGGAAACAGGCTTCCCGCGTGCACCGAGCACAGACGGTGGCAGTGCTCGGAGCCCGC